GCTAATGCATAAGAGCCAGAATGTGAAAATGACTTGAAACTCACAAAAAAACAAACCTTAAACTGACTAGTCTTGTCTCATTGGTTAGGGTATACTCACCTGGGATGTGGGAGAGCCTCAGTTCAAGTCCCCCCTCTGCCTGAGGAGGTGAAGGGATTTGAACAGGGATCTGCCACCTCTCAAGTGAGTGCACTAACCACTGGGCTACAGAGTGATTCTCACTCTCTCTGACCTAATGAATAGAGTGGAAGAACTTAAACTAGAAAGACTGAAGAAGCCGCACATCAGAATACCCAATAGCCCCATGATTAAGGCACTCACCTGCGAGGTGGCAGATGCCTGTTCAAATCCCTTCTCTTCCTCAGGCAGATGGGGGACGTGAACTGAGGAATCTCCCACATCCCAGGTGAGTACCCTTAACTACTGGACAAACAGTTATAAGGGATGTTGGTTGTCCCCCTCCTAGCTGTTTTGTGTGGAACTAGATAGTTGCTGAGTGCACCGACCGGATTGGGCCCTACATGTAAGTTAGGCAGCTGAACTCCTATCTTCCCCAGTTTGTGGATTGCAAGCAGAGATAGGCGCCTCTCTGCAGCCCACACTTAGGAGTCTATCTCCGAGAGGAGCGGGACTTAGAACACACCCATCGTTGGCATCTCCCATTGGCTAGCTTAGGCTGCTCCTTGCCTACCTAGCATGCTGGTTTTGTGGATCACATTCTAAGGTGCCTGTTTCTCCCCATTCATTGAATAGGGAGCGTAGGTGCCAAACTCAGGCTTTGTGGATTGCAGTATTGTTCCTGTGATTTTCTAGGTGCCTAAAAGTTAGGTGTTACTATGATCTGTCCCTTTGTAGATCTGGGCCACTGTCACAGTCAAATGAAATGCAAAAGGCAAACAAAAAGCATAAGCACTGAAAAGTAGATTGGATTTCAAACATTATTTCTCTTCCTATGAAAAGGTGAAATTTGTAACATAGGAAATTATATAATTATTTTTACCCTGACAGTCTCCCTTTAAATAGTGGGACAGCACGTGTGAAAGTTAGCAGGGTTTCCCTCCTTGCAAGGGAAATTGAAGAGGGTGGTTGATATTTGGACAATGGAGAGAAGGCAATTCAGATATTTTCCCCATACAACAGGAGGTTTTTGCCACAACCTGTTTCTTTTGTTTTTATCATAGCTAGCTTGGTAGCATGTCCTTCACTAGGACCTTTATTTCCTTTTCTCACACCCAACAAAAGTATCACAGGCTCTGGAAATGCATTTCAGTCCCTCTAGTCCCAATACCACTCTAGCTACTTCTTATACTGTTTCACCTTGATGTGCCTGACATTCCTCTGCCACAGCTCTTTGCAGCATGAGTGGGGAGGGCAAACTTTGGACAAGGACATAAAGCCAAACTCCTACTCTTATGAATAGAGTTCCAGGATTTTTAATGTCCACATGGAATATATAGGACCTTAGCTGTGAAGGCCTCAACTGGATGATTCCTTAGAATCTAAAAAGATAAGACAAACAAAGGACAGGAGAAAGGAAGTGCTTTATTCCCATTTTACCCAGGAGATTAAATGTTTTGCCCAGGGTCACACGGTCTGGGAATGTAAACTAAATCTCCTGAGTCCCAATTCAATGTCTTCTCTGTAAAAACCACTCTTCCTGGCCCAACCAAACCACTGAAATGTCACAGTTATGGTCCTGTGCCAAAGTATATATTTTCTCCTAGGCAGTTTGAGACAGATCAGGCATTTAGTGGATACCTGGATCCAAAGACAGAGGTGATCTAATTTCTTGGACACTTTCCTAATGCTTCTTTGAAATACCATAAGCCTAACTTTGAGTTTCTTGACTAAGCAATTTTTGAGTAAACATGATGTCCCTGGTGAGAATTCATGCCTCTGAGCAGTTTTAGGTAGGTATCGTTTAGTTATCAGTAGAACTTTCCATGCAGGTTTCCACACACAGCATGCTACCTCATATCTCCTGCAGAAGAGGTATACTGGCCTGGTGTGCGCTATTAAAGAGTTAAGCTTCAGTTGGATGTTTAAGGATGCTGCACCTCCTGCATGACACTATAGAGTGTCACGTTTTCAGGTGTTCAATACAGACTCTCTCATCCTCAGAGAGAGAAACCAGTTACAGAGACTGAAAGTATGTTTACACTTCAGGGTGGGAGGTGTGATTCCCAACTCAAGGAGACATACTTGTGCTACCTCTGATCAAGCTAGCACACTAAAAAGCCAGAAGTGTAGCCATGGCAGCACAAGCGATGGGAGGGCTAGCTACCCTGAGTACAATCCTGTCTCAGACGCTAGTATGTACTTGGGCAGCTAGCCCCTCCTGCCGCTGGTGCTGCTGCAGTTAGACTCTATTTTTAGCTCACTCGCTGGATTAGAACTAGCACAGATTTATCTTCTTGAGCTGGAAATTACACCTCCAGCTCAAAGTGTTGACTTTGACATACCATCAGGCAAAGGATGCAGACAGGCTAGATTTCAGCATCAGTAACTTGTTTACTTCTTCTGGTTAGTTAAATACATGTTATCCTAAAACCTTCCTCAGTCACCATTAAAATACTATACGCTGCAGTCTCCTTTAGCAGCACATCTGTATCTTCAGCTGTGCAGTTCCTAAACTGTGAGTCTCGAAGCACTTCAGACTTCCTAAGAAGCAGGTCTCAGGTGCTGGGGAAGAGGCCTGCAGGAATTTCCGCAGTCTTTCCAAGCCTCACAGGAACCATGCATCCTTCCCAAACAAGACTTTCACTGATTTAAACTAAAGCCATTTTAAAAATTTATTTTAATTAGCATAGTGTAACTTCTGGGTGTATATAAGGCCTAAGACTTTCTAAGATGCATCAAAACTCTGAAGCCTCCTCAGAGCCCTTGATCTTTCTCTTCTAACCCCTCCCCTCCCATCCCTTCAATGGACTCAACAGTTTTTCCATCTAAACACTGGGATTTGAGGGTGCTCAGCACCTCACAGGAAAAGCTCAGCATTTTGCAAGGATTTATTGACTTACTACTGGACCTGGTTCCCAAGATCAAAATATCCCATTTTATTCAATCTGCAGTGAGAGAAAGTTTAAAGCGCACACATAGACATAACAGGAGGGTAGAGGTAGAGATTAATTCAAGTGGAGGCATTTCCATGGCAACACTTAAGTAAATAATAATTCACAGGAATAATAATGGCAAAATACAGCCTTCTTCAAAGGAAAACACAGCTAAAGGGAAGGAAGCAGCCAGGTGTGCCACCAGTGGTGACTGCATAATAAGGCTAATGTTGATATTTTAAAAATCTTTGATGTATCCATATTAACTATGCATTTGATGATAAAGTAATGGCTGTGCACTTTTGTATTGTCACCCTACACACATTCCCAAGACGCAGCTAGATAAAAAGACACAACTGCATCATGTTTTTCATAACTTCTCATGAGGCAAGCTAACCCTTTAATGAAATCCATTATTCCTAGGGCAGAGAGCTCCAGAAAGGGCAGAGAGCTCCAGAAAGATCAGAGACTTGATCCTTACCACACAGAAAAGAGATACATATTGTGCCCTAAAGGTCAGAGCAATGGAAGGTGACTATATAGATGCCTCCTCTATGAACAGCACACGTTGCAGTGCATTTTAAATAGAAGTAAACAAATCACACAGCATCCCTTTGAAGGAGATCTGCAGTCGACTGATAAAACAATACTCTGTGTCAGGTGTAAGTAGGGTGACCAGATAGCAATTGTGAAAAAACGGGACAGGGGTTGGAGGGTAATAGGCACCTATAAAAGAAAAAGTCCCCAAAAATGGGACTGTCCCTTTAAAAACAGGACATCTGGTCACCCTATGTGTAAGGGCTTGCAGCTAACCAGCTTACCTCCTAGCTTCAACCTCAGACAGTCTAGCAAGCACAACTGGGCCCCAACTGAGCCACCTGATTGACCCATCTGCCCAATAGGCTGAGAGGATAAGGAGACCTGCTCTTAAGATCAGCAGCAGGGCACTGGCTGCTGAAAGCGTTTGCAAATATTGCCTCAGACTCAGTCCTGCTTCTGCCTTGCCTCACTCCAGCTAATTCAGCTCTGACCCTCAGCTCTGATTCCTGACCTCTGGGTCTGACCCTCGGCTCCAGCCACTAGGCCTGACTCCAGCTCCATCCACTAGGCACAACCCGCCTATGTCCAAGTCACATGACACTCTGCAACTTAGCACAGGTTGTCATGTGGACATTTTACAGTATAAAAGTCATTTGGTAAGAGAACTACTACGTGCAAGTTAAGCAGAACACACACCACTGCCAGGAATGAGATGACGCCTTATTAGAAGTGGGCTGCTATTGTTTGGTGCAGGGGGGGTAGAATTCTCAATCACAACCGGGTTCTAGTTCTGTGGCTGGCCCTTCCATATTGAACTGAATTAAATCCCAGATCCAAACATGCCCTGAAATTTAGGGAGTTTGAAATCTGGAACTAGAACTGAATTATATAGCCCAGGCCCAGCTCTAGTACACTGTCTATAAGATCTTTCATCTGAAGATCTAAACATGGTTTGCAAACAGTAATGGACATGAAATATTACACACAGTCAGGGAAACCAAGGCACAATTTAAGTGGATTGCTCAGAGCCACATGGTGATTCAGTGGCAGAGCCAGGAATGGAACGCAGGAGTGCTGACACCTAGCACTCTGTATGCAGTGTTGTTGTAGCCATGTCGGTCCCAGAATATTGGAGAGAATATCTTTTATTGGACCAACTTCTGTTGGTGAGAGAGACCAGCTTTCAAGCTTATGCAGAGTGTGCTCTGCTCTAACCTCTCACTGATGCATACTCCCTACCCATAACTGAATGTCCCAATGGGAGGCAAAGCACCTCCCTCCCTCTGAGAGCTGAATACTCTGTTTCTAAGACTGCTCAGGCAATTTTGGATGCTAACCAGCCGCTGATGAAGTGCCTTCTCATTGAGAGGGAAGCAAAGGATGAGAAGAAAGAGGAGAGGCTCCCACCTGTCTGACACGTCAGGAAGAGATAAAACCATCCACTGCCAGACTCCCAAACCTTCACTGTTAGTGAAGTGCCAGAACGTCCTGCTCTGTTCCTTCCCCGTTTTGTTCTCGATAAGGACCAGGGAAATATTTCCAAACAAGAAGCCGTGGATGAGCCATGACATTCGGAGCTACAAGGAAGAGAACATATAAGGAAGCAAGTAAGATACTTTAGTTATCCATAAATAAACTAAATCCCCAATTCTTCTCATTCAGTTCCTTCTTTCCCTCCCTCCAAATCCTCAATCCTTTTTCCCTGATGTTCTTCTCCTTCTCTCGGCATAGGGGTAGCCGCCAAATATTTGAGGCAGTATTGTTGTGCAGAAGTATTTGGTGCAATATGCTGGTAAAGACACAAAAAGTTAATGGAAAATTTGTGGGCCTGATTCTCATTTATACTAAGGCCCCCTGTACACCACTCTGGTAGTGCAAAGGGGTCTAAAAAGTGGGTTCACATGTAATTTATACCCATTTTAAGGTCCCTTTACAGTGCATGTATAAATGACGATAGTTTAAATGAAAGTCAGGCCCTTTATACCCATCTATATATCTCAGAATACATGGGTACTTGGTGCAGGATTCTTACATTCAGGTAAGTATTCAGGTGTTTTATATTCAGTTAAAAAAATAGAGCTCAGTAATTCTCAAACCACATTTGGCTCTTTACATGGTTATTTCTCTTCTCTCTCCCAGTCTGGCTCTTTATCCCATGTTTTGGCTTATGAACTATGGTAAAATTTAGTGGTTCAACTGGAGCCTAGGGGTGAAAGCCTGGCCCCACCAAAGTCAATTGCAAAACTCCCATTCACTTTCAGAATTTCACCACATCATCGGCTGGTGACGGGACACTAAATGGGGAGGGCTCTGAATTACTACAGAGAATTATTTCCCAGGTGTCTGGCTGGTGGGTCTTGTCCACATGCCCAGGGTCTAACTGATTGCCATAGTTGGGATTGGGAAGGAATTTTCCCTCCAGGTCAGTTTGGCAGAGACCCTGAGAGTTTTTCCCCTTCCTCTGCAGCATAGGCCATGGGTCATTTGCAGGTTTAAATTGGTGTAAATGGTGGAGTCTCTGTAATTTGAAGTCTTTAAACCACGATTTGAGGACATCAGTAACTCAGCCATGGCATGGGTCAGGGGTCTATTACAGGAGTGGGTGGGTGAGGTTCTGTAGCCTGCAATGTGCAGAAGGTCAGACTAGATGATCATAGAATAATAGGACTGGAAGGGACCTCAAGAGGTCACCTAAGTCCAGTCTGCTGCACTCATGGCAGGACTAAGTATTATCTAGACCATCCCTGACAGGTGTTTGTCTAACCTGCTCTTGAAAATCTCCAATGATGGAGATTCCACAACCTCCCTAAGCAATTTATTCCAGTGCTTAAACACCCTGACAGTCAGGAAGTTTTTCCTAATGTCCAACCTAAACCTCCCTTGTTATAATTTAAGTCCATTGCTTCTTGTCCTATCCTCAGAAAAGGTTAAGGAGAACAACTTTTCTTCCTTCTCTTTGTAACAACCTTGTATGTACTAAAAAATTGTTATGTCCCCGCTCTGTCTTCTCTTCTTCAGACTAAACAAACCCAATTTTTTTCAATCTTCCCTCATAGGTCGTGTTTTCTAGACCTTTCATAATTTTTGTTGTTTTTCTCTGGACTTTCTCCAATTTGTCCACATCTTTCCTGAAATGTGGCACCCAGAACTGGACACAATACTCCAGTTGAGGCCACATCAGAGTAGAGTGGAAGAATTACTTCTCGTGTTTTGCATACAACACTCCTGCTAATACATCCCAGCATGATATTTACTTTTCTTGCAACAGTCTTACATTGGTGACTCAAATTTAGCTTGTGATCCACTATGAACCCCCAGATCCCTTTCTGCAGTACTCCTTCCTAGGAAGTCAGTTCCCATTTTGTATGTGCACAACTGATTGTTCCTTCTTAAGTGGAGTACTTTGCATTTGTCCTTACTGAATTTCATTCTATTTACTTCACACTATTTCTCCAGTTTGTCCAGAACATTTTGAATTTTAATCCTATCCTCCAAAACACTTGCAACCCCTCCCAGCTTGGTATCATCTGCAAACTTTGTAAGTTTACTTTCTATGCCATTATCTAAATCATTGATGAAGATATTGAACAGAACCGGACCCAGAACTGATCCCTGTGGGACCCTACTCGATATGCCCTTCCAGCATGACTGTGAACCACTGATAACTACTCTCTGGGAACAGTTTTCCAATCAGTTATGCACCCACCTTATAGTAACTCCATTTAGGTTGTATTTCCCTAGCTTGTTTCTGAGAAGGTCATGCGAGAGAGTATCAAAAGCCTTACTAAAGTCAAGATATACCACATCTACTGCTTCCCCCTTATCTATAAGGCTTGTTACCCTGTCAAAGAAAGTTATTAGGATGGTTTGACTTGATTTGTTCTTGACAAATCCATGCTGACTGTTACTTATCACCTTATTATCTTCTAAGTGTTTGTAAATTGATTGCTTAATTATTTGCTCCATCTTGCTGGGTACAGAAATTAAGCTGACTGGTCTGTAATTCTCTGGGTCGTCCTTATTCCCCTTTTTATAGATTGACGCTATATTTTCCCTTTTCCAATCCGCTAGAATCTGCTGTCTTCCATGACTTTTCAAAGATAATCGCTAATGGCTCAGATGTCTCCTCAGTCAACTCCTTGAGTATTCTAGGATGCATTTCATCAGGCCCTGGTGACTTGAAGACATCTAACTTGTCTAAGTAATTTTTAACTTAGTCTTTCCCTATTTTAGACTCTGGTCCTACCTTATTTTCACTGGCATTCACTATGTTAGATGACCAATCACTACTAACCTTTTTGGTGAAAACCAAAACAAAAAAGTCATTTAGCACTTCTGCCATTTCCACATTTTCTGTTATTGTTTTCCCCCCTCATTGAGTAATGGGTCTACCTTGTCCTTGGTCCTTCCTTTTGCTTCTAATGTATTTGTAGAATGTTTTCTGGTTACCTTTTATGTCTTGAGCTAGTTTGCGCCTTGGCCTTGCTAATTTTGTCCCTACATAGGTGTGCTATATGTTTATATTCATCCTTTGTAATTTGACCTAGTTTCCACTTTTTGTAGGACTCTTTTTTTTGAGTTTTAAGATCATTGAAGATCACCTGAGTAAGCCAGAGTGGTCTCTTGCCAGACTTCCTATCTTTCCTACACAGTGGGATAGTTTTCTCTTCTGCCCTTAATCATGATGGTCCCTTCTGACCTTAGTCTCTGAGTCTATATATATGGAAACCTCCAGTACCTCATATATGCCATTGGAGCAGTGCCTTTTAAAAACAAAAACAAAAAAACCCCCGACAGATAAGTTTAAAACATGGACCGTTTTCATATCACTTCTATGTTCAGTGCACATATACTTTATTATAAAAGGACGACTTTAATACTTGTGTGATCCATAACTTTTAAGGCTCACTCTCCCTTTAGACATGATCTAATAGATACAAGTTAAAACTGACAGCTTTTTCAGTGATGAACTCTCTTATATTCAGGCAGCAGCAGAAACAAGTGCAGAATGACTGCAATAAGAGGGTGTCGCTAGCAATTACATGCTCATCCCCTAGATATTCCTTTCAAAAATTAGTTTTTCCCTCCTTCTCTTCAGGTTTTTATAGACTTTCCAATTATGATCCAGTGATATTTGGCTTTTTATTAATTAAAGTACTGTATGGAGCATAGTCTCAAGCATTTTTGTTAGATCTAATGTAACAAAGTCCCTTAGTGGCTCTTTATCTCTGTATATAAAATTACTTCCTGGCATTTTCTCATTTTAGGACTCATTTTCTCTCATTGTCAGGAATGAAATATAAACCTTTGCAATTTGGTCTGGTCTCAAAATCTCTAACATGAACATTGCTGTCTAATTTTCTTTGAAATAACCCCCTCAAACTCTTTGCTTATAAAGAGCTTAATAAGAAAAAAAATACCGCATGCAGGGGCTGGATTTATGCAGCCATCACAATAATCGGCAAATGTGAGGTTGCCCAAGGAATGAGTTTACTGAGGCTACGTTAATGATGGATTTCTGGACACAAGAGAGCGTTCACAGCACTGAGTCCTGATTCAACTCTCATAAAAAAAAACCTTCATAATTTTGTAATGCTTCAAATCCAGCACATAACCTAACCAGGAAGGTTAGGTAATTGCACTTATATTTTTATATGGTAATACTATTTGCTGTCTTGATAATACGCATTTTCTCCATTATATATTTAGCTAGGTTACAGAATTAGAAAGGCTAGCAGTTATCATGCTTCAGGGAAAAAGCTAGTCAGTAGTTTTTTTACCCCTCCCCATGACATAACACTGTACAATTAGCTAAGATGGGGTGTACATGTGTGTATTGTGAAAGCATCTTTGCCTGAGGCATCAAGTCTATGCAGAGGACAGATTTGGACATGGGGAGGATGAAGTGGTGATGCTGATGATGCTGAACTGAACCTCTGGCCACAGTCCCAGAGCATCAGGTATTTCACTGCTCATCACCCACAAGGGACCATGAGATCATCTACATTTCACCCAGTTACCCCAATAACTTTGTCAAGTATCACAGGGGTAGCCGTGTTAGTCTGGATCTGTAAAAAGCAAGAGAGAGTCCTGTGGCACCTTTAAGACTAACAGATGTATTGGAGCATAAGCTTTTGTGGTGAATACCCACTTCGTCAGACGCATGTGACATGTGTCTGACGAAGTGGGTATTCACCCACGAAAGCTTATGCTCCAATACATCTGTTAGTCTTAAAGGTGCCACAGGACTCAATAATTTTGTGTTTGGCTTCAAAATTAACACCTCATTTAAATGAATGGGGGCAGCTCATTTCTTTTACAGCTACCATTTCAGGCCACTTGTCTCCACGGTTAGGAAGAGAACCACACTGAGAAGACTTCTGTTTGCAACTGTAAGGACCAAAGCCCCAAGGCCCTGTTCTTCTTTCATGCCAATTTTATACCAGTGCCAAACCCTGGACTTCACTAGAGATGCTCCTGATTTATACTAATGTAAGTAAAAGGAGAGTCTGTCCCTTATTTATTTTATTTTATTTTATTTAAATTAAAATGTTATTGTGCCCAAACACTGTCAGAG